GGCAAGGTTGGGCCACTTCACTTGGTTCACAAAGTTGTTACCTGTTGGCACATGTTGCCATTGTTCAGGGCTCAAAGATGTTTCAACTCTTTTCATTCTGTTACCTACATAGACATAGAAATGTCTGCTTTGTTTGTAGATGTAGCTTGACATCTCCTTGCTGTCTGCGTAGAAGGTGGTAGACTGTAGTTCAAGGCACAACGTCTTCGCTGTCAAATTGGTGAGCTTTACAGCCAAAGTGGTACCACATAGTTCTAACCTTGGTACGGTGTGGCCTTCATGTATTGTTAGTCTCGCTTTTCCAAAGAAGACACCGAGACTGCAGCTCTCCCCGCTGTAGACTCTGATGTATGTTATGGTTGCAAACAAGATGACGTAAGTGTGGCTCTCCCCGCTGTAGACTGTGACACATCTTAAGGCTGCATTTGCCTTCATTGACACATCTAAGGAAGCGTACAATTCTTTCTTTTGCACTGTGGCGGGTGAGCTGGAAACATACATGCACTGCACTTGCATACTCTTGGGGCATCTTGGAAGTATACTCCATGACTCCCGGTCTTGCAGACGTTGTTTGTCTTGTTTGTCCTCTATGGACAAGGCTAAGTTGTGATTTTTGCTTGTCTGGAACACTGTTGCTTCCAAAACAGGTTTGGTTGTCACAAACGTGCAGTGTTCTAGGTGTGGTTTTAGGTGAGGTGCTATTCCATTACTGGGAATGGAGGTGTTTGATATGCTCACCTGAGTTGGTGTTTGCGTTTGATCAACACAAACCGTCCCTCCTATGGCCCATCTGAGTTCCGTCTTAATGGCTACTGGGGTTCCTGGTGGACCTTTGATTCTGTCATCGGAGCCAATGGACTCTGGGGCATCTCTTCCCACCATGAGTAGGATTTTAGCTTCAGGATCTAGAGGAGGGATTAAATCAGCTATGTGTGCTAAGTGAGGTATTTTTCTTGCCGCCTCTGGTGTTGATATTTCGCTGCGGACATCTGGTAAGGTCTCCCATTCCAACACTGATGGTAACCGGAAATGTGAGCTTCCATCTATCGCTTCTATGCGTAGACCAGTGATTTTCCTCCCCGCCGTGCGCATTTGAACTGTGCACATATTTATTGCAAAATGCTTCAGTTTACTCGGGAGGTCAAAAAGGTCGAAAAAGGCGGGCTTTGCTATAGTAACTTTGCTGTGTGGGTCTAGTATGGCGTACATCTTTACTGCCTTTTCAGGTTGCCCGTCGGGGTAGACTTTTGCAAGACAGACGGGTGAGCATGAAGGAGGGCATGGTGAGTCGTCACATATATCTGTATAGTACGTCCCGTACTGTTTTGGCTGCTCTTCGGGGTCAGTTTGAGTCTCCGTCGTCAAAGTCGCTTGTTGTGTCTCCTCAGAGGGCTTCTTAGTTTCTAGATGTAAGGCTGCTGGGTGCTTGGTACTGTCACACAGGTGGCATTTCACTCTAGCTGTGCAATCTTTGGCCATGTGTTCCATGGAGTCACAGCATTTGAAACATATCCTATTCTCTTTGAGTAGGGTCTTTCGGTCATCTAGGGATTTTTTTCTAAATTCTCTGCAATCGTTTAGAGAGTGTGAGGACTTGTGAATTGGACAAGTCAAGCCTTTTTTAGTTGGACGAGGGTTCGAATGAGCACCTTTCGGTATTCGTTCGTCTGGAGACTTCTTTGGGTGAGGCGTGATGTCTGTTTTGTATACTGAATAGGTGGTTCTGTCCTTCGTAGCTTGGACGGGGCGCTTGACAACATCAGAGTTTTGACTGGTTTGCTTTGTCGTTGGGGACTGAGCTTCTCTGATGGAGAGGTACAGGGGGTCGTTGTAGAAGTCAGCCCTGTCCCTGATAAATTCAGCGAGAACCGCAAAGGGGGGAATTTTGTTTTGGTTGCTTTTCCTCTAAGCTCGAGAAAACTCGATCCATTTTTCAGATATCAACCGTGGTAGTTTTTTGATGATAGGATCTTGTGTTCTAAACAGGTCAAGGCAAGCTAATCCCAGCAAGGTAGGATCATGTTGTACTGTCTCCAGTTGAGTAAGGAGCGACGAGAATGTCTTCAGCTGCTGACGTTCGTTGATTCTTATGTTGGGGAAACTGAGAACGTGGTCCAGGAGCGAGGACTCTGTCACTGTGGGTTCACCGTAGTCCTTGTCAAGTGCGCCCCAAGTTTGGGCAATGCCGATGTCAGGGTCGCCCAGATGGGCTGCGAAGATGTTGTTCACTGTGATTACAGATTTTGGGCCTAGCCAGGCTGTCAGCTGGACAAGTTCTTCATCTGGCCCAGCCCTTTCCTGGTTGATGGCGCGCTTGAAGATGTGCTTCCACAATAAGTAGTCTTTTCCAGGTTTGTCGGAGAATCTTCGTACTCCTCTGGCTGCCAAGTCCAACCTTCTTCCAACGTACATTGGGGAATGCATCGATTCCATATGTGGGCTGTAGCTTGGTGGAGATGGTGCATCGCTTCTGGGAGCGGGGGCGTGTGCCATGGCTAGCTGGAAACTTCCTTCAGCGTATTGTTGGTTGAGGGTATTTTGCCATGTCACATGCGAGGGACCTTGTTGGCTTGGTCTGAACTCCTCTGCCCTGGCATTGAGCTGAGGGGAGTTAAGGTCCTGGGTGCTCACTTGTTGGAGGGTCTCTCGTCTTTCTGGTGGAGTGTGGCTGGTTCCTTGGTAGGCTGGCATAGATGGTATTCGAGACTCTCCGCTGTGATCAGGTCTGGTGGTGGTTCCTTGGTAGGCTGCCTCCTGTTGGCGTAGCAGGGACTCTAGTGTGGCTCGAGCTCTTTCAATCTCTTCCCCGAGCGACGGCTGGTTCTGCTGTGGGGCCGATGGTGCTGCAGGTGGACCCATCCGATTGCCATCAGTGGTGTAGTTCGGCGGGTTCCATGGGGCAACAACGGTGGAAAGATCTTGTTGCGCTCCCCGCTGTGTAGCTATTGCCGTTGCTGATGGGCCCATCCGGTTGCCATCAAAGATATGGTTTGGCGGGTTCAACGGGGCAGCAACGATGGGAATGTCTCGTTGCACTCCCCGCTGTGTAGCTATTGCCTTTGCTGGTGGACCCATCCGGTTGCCATCAAAGATATGGTTGGTGGGTTCAATGGGGCAGCAACGATGGGAAGATCTCGTGGCCTAGTTGTCGCGACATCAACCCTGTGGCTGATTGGCACATCTGGCCGTTGAGATTCTTCTGTTCGTCTACTCGGTCTTGGGGGGCTTGTGGCTGGCTGTGGTCTCACCTGTTCACGTTGAAACGCACTTTGGTTGTCCACGTAGGTCTGTACTCAGCTACGCCGTTCTTCGTTCTCCAGTTGTTCCCTATTGGACAAGAAGGTGGGCTCCTGGAGTGTTCTCCGAAGGCCTTTTGCCCTTGCCACTTTGTCCGCCACATCTCGTTGGCTTCTTATGAACTCAAGCTCATCTTGAGTGGCCTTCATTTTAGCCTTCCTTATATCTGCTTCGGCTTCCGCTTCAGCCTCTGCATCAGCTTCTCTTTTGACTGCTTCCACGTCTGCATCAGCCTTCCTTTTAGCTGCATCAGCTTCTCTTTTGACTGCTTCAGCGTTCCTTTTAGCTGCTTCGGCCTTTCTTTTGGCCTTCATTTGAGCTTCTTCTATTTCCATCGCCTCCAATTCCTTCTTCTTCAGCTGCTCCTCTTGTGCTACGCGAAAAACTGCTTCGGCAGCATTAGCATCTATGATTGCTTGCTCTTCTTGTGAAATTCGGGATGCTCGGCTGTGACGAGAAGATGCTTTCGAATGGCGGGAGGCGCCTGTGACATGCGATTGCTGTGACACGCTGGAATGTGCCTTGGATATGTGGCGGAAAGATGAGGCCTTTCCAGACACGTGAGATGGAGCCGCATGACACCGTTGAATGGCAGTAAACTTCAGACTCGGCCCTGTCGACCGGTCTGTCTCTGGTGTGAGGCTCTGGCACTGGGGGGCGTTGTGGGCTCTCCAGAAGCTTCTTACATTCCTCGTTTAGTAGCTTGAGGCTTCGCATCTCTCTATCGATAGTTGAATCTCCTAATTGCTCCTGAATGACCTTAAGTTGCCGTTCGGAGTCCATCCATTGCACAAAGGCGTCTTCCTTATCTCCTTCCACTGCGTGTGTACGTTCAGGGGAGAGATCCTCTTTTTGCTCTTGGTAGAGTTTGTGCCACCTCTCCCAATGTCTTTCATGGCGTTTGTACACGGTGTCCCATTTCTCCAACAGGTGTGCATGCATGACTTCTGTAGGCTTTCTTTGTTGTCTCAGATCATAGTGACCCTGAGACATCTTTGGCCTTGCTGAGGCTTGAGCTTCAGCCTCTGTGTGCAGGTCAAGGTTGGCTGTTTGCAGCATTTCTCCTTGGCCGGCTGGTTGGGGTGTCTCAACTAGGCTGGTTGGTTGAACCCCTTCATCTAAATCAGTGGGACACTCTGCCATGGCTAGGATAGGTTCAATGTTCTTCTCAGCTATTTTGAAGCAGATTTGAAGAACTTCTCTCTTTGACCACTAGGGGTCGCTACTTGCAGATCAGCTTCAGAGGTGCTGTCTGTGGGTGGAGGTGCCACTGGGTGCATTCTCCTGTGCTTGTGGGTACTTCAGCGTAATTCACCTGTTCACCACTAGGGGTCACTTTCTGCGTATCAGCTACCGGGGTGCTCTTCCTTCGGGGTACACCCTTTGTCCACTAGAGGGCTTTCTCTGGGTGTGATTAAAGGCTTGCATGTAGCTCCTCCTTTAACCACTAGGGGGCGTCTGAAGAAAGGCCAGCCAAATTCTTCCTATTACCACGTTCCTGCTGGTGGCCACTGAGAGAATGTAGAGGTACAAAAACTCCCACCTGGTCATTAAGTTGCAGGCTGGAACCCCTTGGTTGTCAGCTTGTGGTAATAAGCAAGGATTATTGGCTTTGCTTCCTTCTCCTTAATCCCTCAAACTGGAACAACTTGGTCTTCAGCTTGAGTGAGTGAATACATTATTGAAGTTCACTCTGTGCCCTTTAGGGTGGTGTTGGTAGCTTGGGGTAAATTTAAGTAGCTTGCACTTAACTAACAGATTCACTCTGTGTAATTAATGATGTGTGCAGTGAAGTGTCCTCTTTCTCTCTATAGGGTACTCTGAGCTTGGCTTGGTATAAGCTTGCTATGTGCTGAATTAATTATGAAGTTCCCACATTTAATTGTAAGAAGATTGCTGAAGGAAAAGCAAATTGGCCACCAGGAGATGCTGCTGCATTGCTATTGGAAGTTGAAATTCCAAACATTCCTAAGGGAGGAGGGAGTTTGGCCTCTTTTCACCAGTGCTGTGTTTGAGAGAGCAGCTTAATTGCTTAATTGCTTTCCTTAGCGACCTGTTGCTAGCTTGCGGACAATGAAGGCAGTTTTGGTTGAGAGATTATTGTCTTTATTGCCTGGAAGGGGCCGCTCTCTGCTACCTTCTTGGCTAGCAAACTCATGAAGAAGAAGCAGATGTGTTGTTACTTTGTTACTCTTTAGGCATAAAGACTCTAAACACTTAAGTTTCAAATCATTGATTTGCATTAGACAGGCTGAGAGAGTGACGCTCCCTTTTGAAAGGCAGTGAAGATTTAGTTGCCTGCCTTTGGCTGCATTCCGATGTAGAATATAACAAGGTGAGAGGTATCACCCTTTCCAAGCCTCTCAATCTCCGGCAAACAAAGGAAGGGGGAATAAAAAGCCCAAAGCTCCTTTTGGTGTTAGCAATTCAGACTTTACATGAAGGAAATCCTTACAATAAGAGTGCAGTGATGACGTGGAGAGATAGCAGCGAATTAACAAAACAATGCCTCATAATCACACCTTCTTTTAAAACGCTGTCTGCCAAACAGATACACAGACTTTACTGTTGCAGGCGATTCTTGGAAATCAGTCACATCAAGTTACTTTCACATGCAAGAGAATCTTTGCTTTTTACTTCTTTAAATTTGCAGATCAGAGGAAAATTAATTCCATCAATTTACTATTGCAGGAGATCAGAGGAGAATTAATCTATCAATTTACTATTCTGCCCTAGACAGGAGATTTTGCCTTATTCCAATCTGGAACAGATAGATAACTCAGAGGAACAAACAAAAAATATTGCTTTATTCTGGGAATCCTAAACAATGACTTACAGTTTGTAGAGGTGCGTCCAAAATAGGTTTCTGCAATTTGATTGTCCCACAGGTAAATTGATATTAGATTTTCCCCTCTTCTCCTTCTTAAATGTCACATGTTGGGATGATTATGGGATCTCCAGCCGTGTGGCTGGATGCCATGAACAAGATGAACAAAAGAACTCCCATGTGGCTAGTGTCCAGGAAGTCTCCCAATGCCCTTTAGAAACTCC